ATAATATGGGACGGAGGGAGGAATATATATGTCAGATCTCTTCACAAAAGCACTTCTTACATCAATTTTCAAGAAACATATACAAAATATTGGAATGCCTCACCTTCGAGATATTTAAAGAAGAACTAAATGTGTTCTGTTGAGGGGGAACATCATGTTGTATTCCTTTTCCCTTATTAAGGTTTTCATCCCAATGAATTTTTCTTAATAAATTTTTTAACTAGACAACATATATTCGCATAAGTTTCTCCTCGACAAGAATTCAATGAAGCATCATCGTAATAAACATTTCAAAGGAAAAATGTTATAATAAACAAAAATATTATTATTAGTTAAAAATATATATTTTAATAATAATGACCGACTATTGTAGATGCATAATTTGTTAAAGTTAAAATAATAATATTAATTATTACATTAATGTAATAGTTGTATTTCTAGTAATATAAATTCTTTTAAGAGACATAAGTGATACATTTTACTTTCTTCAATATTTTCTATTAATTTGATATTATATAACTAGATAATAACTTATATCATTATATTAATTTAAAAATATTAACACGGAAATATCTAAAATTAAATTATATATATTCCAAGAGTTAACCCTATACGATAAGTAAAACACAGTACTTATATATTTGTGTTTACAAGAATCTATGCTAAGAAGCACGTGATTACATTGGGAGTTTACTAGTGTTCATGTGCACGGCCATGATTGGCGGATCCAACGATATATTGAAATATAGATTTGAAATTAAAAAGACAAGGTTGCTCTCTATGACGTTGATTGTTACATATAATTTCTTTAATATTCATTTATTTAAATAAATAAAATATATTAAAAACGATATAAATTTAATTCAAACGATATAAAATATGCTAACAAGTATGTCAAAGGTATACCTTCCCATCACTGTTATAAATAATAATTATTGAAGTTGATAAGTCATCTAATTCAAACGAGCATTGCAACTACTCCTATAAAAAGTGATAACTTCTATATCAATCTTTAAACATTGAGAAATGTATCTTCAATCAATTGTTTAATATTATTTAATTTTATTATAGTTCATTATTTATTAAATAGAATTGTTAGTGTTTCAAAAACACCTTTTAAAGTTTAAAATTGTAAGATTTTTTAAAAATACGGGTTAAATATACAACACCCCCTATAATATAAGCGAATTTCGATTTATCTTTAGTAAATTTTTTTTTGAATCTCTTCAAAATATTAAAATTCTATGTCTTTTGTCCCATATGAGTCAAAGTTAGCACTGTAATATATATTTTTTAGTTTACCTCCAGATTCAGTGTTCAAATTGTACACTTAGAGAGATAAAACAAAAAAGTATATATTATAAAGGAAATCCAAAAAAAAAATCACTTAAAGCGAAACTCGTCTACATTGCAGGGGATGTTGTATATTTAACTCTAAAATAATTGATTCTTTATAAATAATATTTTTTTATTTGATATTTTTAAAGAGTGCATCTAAAACACTAGTTAACATTAGGGGTGTTCGCGATGCGATTTGAGCAGTTTTGACGCTAAATGTCATCCAAACCACAAGAGAAAAAAAACATGCGGTTTGGTTTGGTTCGGTTCGCTTTAAGAAATAAAATTGAACAAAACCAACACAAATCAATGCGGTTTGGGTTGGTTCGGTTTTTTACAAGATTTTTATTAAGGCATAAATACACAAAGAGAATAACATAACTTTGTATTTAGTCATTCATACATTATCAAATAGAAACAAAACTTATCATATTTAGACAAAAACTTCTCATTCAATATACACAAATAATTTATACAAAAGTAGAATAAAAAACATAAAATAGTAGGATAAAATAATATCAAAAAATATTATAATAAAAAGAAAAAACGGAGGTGAGTAGAAATTAGAGAAGATGAAAAATAAAGAACATAAGAGATGCGATATTAGAAAAGAAAGATACGATAAAAACGTAATTGAAAGAGAAAACAATACCATAAAAATGAGAAGATGAAAAAGAAAGAACATAAGATAGGAGAGATTAGAGTAAAAGTTGTGAGACGTACATAGCAAAAACAACGAGAAGAATGCGCGATACTACTAGAAGGATTTAAGAAGGTTAAAACTAAAACTCTAAGCAAGTAAAAGGATATTTGTAAGGTTAAAATATAATAGGTTTAAGTTTTGGATTGAATGTGGGATAAGTGAATTTGGATTGTAACATATGTAATTTGGTTTGGTTTAGTTTGATTTGCAAAATGCAAACCACAGACCGAACCGAACTGCACAATTTTGTTAATAAATAGCTCTAACATATCCAAAAAAAGTGCGGTTTTTTGCGATTTTGATTTGATTTGTAGTTTTTTTTTCTTTCTAAAAGCCAATGATATAAAGAAGAACACAAAGGGTGTTCAAACCTTTACAACCACCAAAAATAGTACATAACAGACAAAAGAAAACTAGAAAATTTCCTACCAACTCTAACACAATCTTACTCTCCTAAAGGATTCATACAAAAAGATTGAAACTCAGAATTGGGGTAGGAAATTTTACCAATTCTAGACCAATTCCAAACAACAATCTTAGTAGTCCAACATAAATCATCTAGATTGAATACCCCATTAGAAAAAATGACATTGTTCCTATTTCTCCAAATACACCAGATAATGATTAACCAAAATGATCCTACTTTCAAATTTCCTTCAATTTGAGTTCCTAAACCACACTAGTCAAGGAAAAACTCACAAACATTACTTGCAAAAAAGTTTCCTATACCAACCCAATCTCAATCCGTTCCCACACTGCTTGAATCAAAGAGCAAATGAAAAAAAAAGGAGAAATGTCTTCATCCGTGTTCAGGCAGAAAACACAACTTATGTTCAATTTCATGAAAATCTTTAATGAACCTGACAATATCTTCCTTCAAAGTATTCCAGCAATTCTTGATAAAAAAATAGATTGTATCCATCAGGGCCTGGGCTTTTTGATCCGTCGCAACTCCACATCGCACTCTTAATTTCTTCTTCAGAAAAGGCCTTTCTAAATAATTTGCACCCTCTTGAGATATTATACCAAAATTGCATCCATCCAACACCAGTCTTTGAAGATCCTGTTCAAAAAACTTTTTAAGAAAAAAGCTTCTCACTGCATCCTTCACTTCTTCCACCATACCATAACCCGTATCCACCCTCCCTATGAACTTCCTCCTTAAACGACCTCTAATCCAGTTATGGTAGAATCTCGAGTTACAACCACCTTCCTTTAACCACCTAACTTTAGTTTTCTACTGAAGCATATTCTCCTTAATGTGAAAATTCCTCCAAAACGGCTTACAAGCCCTGGCTCTTTTGTCAACCGACTCTTTAACCTTAGATTCACCAATTGATGCCAACTGAAGATCTGTCTAGTTCATCACCTCTAATTGCTCCTCCATTTTTAGATCATACCAACCGAAAACCTCAGTCCTCCACCTGATAATGCTACTTTTCAAAATTCTCAATTTTTCTTTAACAACAAAATCACTTCTACCTCTAATGTCATCTCTTCCACTCATTCTCCATAAAATATAAGAACCCAGGGTTGTCGAACCAACAATTGTTAGTTTTAAAAGGTTTATGTCCCTAATTAATGGCACAGATCTTCACCCAGATGAGAGAGTGATCCGAAATTTCCCTTCTACCAATCAATTGATCCATCACTCCCCATTTTTGAACTATTGCATCCTCAACTAAGAATCTATCTAATGTACTCATTGACTTACCATCACTGTTGTACCAAGAGAACCGATTTCCAGCAACAGGCAAGTCAACAACATTCAAGTCGGAGATGAAGACACTGAAACCGCGCATCTCAGAATTTATGACATTATTGGTCTTCCCTTTTCTCTCAGATGTGAACGTTGTAGCCTTAAAGTCTCCACCAAGAAGCCACATGTCATCTGATAGTTTAGCTTTTACCTTAACCAGATCGCTCAACAACTTCCTTTTATCACCCAGAGCACAACCTGAGTAAACATTAACAACAAAGTAGATATCCTTATTCCAAATCAATTTAATACCAAGGAACCCATCACCTCTAAAAGAATAAAGAACCTTGACGACATCCTTATTCCAGAGCGTGATTAAACCTCTTGATTGACCTTGAGCACCACTAAAGGACCAACCAACATCTCCATGGCTCCACAAACTTCTAATAGTATTCTCTTCCATGTTACTTAATTTCGATTCTTAAATAATAAATATATCAGCTTTCCCTTTAAGAATGGTTTTATTGACTCTTCTTATTTTGGAAAAAGATCCCCCCTCTTATATTCAATGACCCAATTATCATTGATCATCTTTTGAAAGCGCCTTCTGTCCAATGAATTTTATTTTATCCACAACCTCCAAATCTATAATATTCCTATGGTAATCTTTAGATTTGTCGCATGCCACCACCCCAAGGTTTGGGATAGCTCCTGGAATCTTCTCCCCTACCTTTGACTCTAAATTGTTCTAGAACTTATGGTTACAACATCTCATATCAGAATTAGATGTTTGATCACAACAAAGAACTGATCCTGCAGAGAAATTATCAGATTCCTCCTCCCCAGTGTTTGATCGAGTCAGATTACAAGAGTTGAAAGAGGAATTAGAGATTTTGTTTAAGACATCAAAGAAAGAAAGTTGAGGGAAATCTTCAATAGGATCCTCTGAATCTTCAGGCCCATCAAAATTGATCCGGCCCAAATTCCTCTTAGCCTTCGTCTTGGACTTTCTAGCAACAAGCCCAATAACCTCAGAGATAGTCCTCATTTTCTCCTTTTTAAATTTACCCGCCTTTCCTCGATCCACGTACTGAACTAAGTCAACCTTTTAACGCTGAAGCAGGTGTTTAGAAAAAGTCTCTTCAAATCCCATAGAAATGTTAGTATCTTTCCTAGCCTCATTCCTCACGCCAACTGTCTTAGTATTTTTTGCCGCCTCGATAGCCACATCAAACTCAAAAGCTCTATCCATAGATTCAACTAATTTCTACTCAGAAAAGTTAGCCATCTTTTCTGATACATCATTACTCCAAAAATCAAAGCCAACTTCTCCTCCGTCGTCGATCTAACTGGAGAAGATCTTTCCAAAACACCGATATCTAAGTTCTCCCTATACCCTCCTTGATCCCATACCACATACTCCTCCTCCCCTCCTAAATGACTCCAATTACAATCTGACTCAGAAGAGGAACTGTCATTAATCACTTTTCTATCTGTTTTATTATAAACTATATGCAATGGCCCATGATAATCTTCACACATCTTAATGTTGAAAACCTCATTGTTGATCATGACTTTAAAGGTTTCATTTATCACCATCGCACAATGCGTCCTCACCAAGATTATGGCTACATTCTTACACTCCCTCTTCAATGTATTATCGTCAATACACACATATATTCCTACCGTTTTAGCTAGAATATCAAAGAAAGCAACGTTCCACGCATGACAAGGAATGCCATAGCATCTCAACAAGGTGACTCTCTCTTTGTCCACCATATCTTCCTTCCATTCTTTTATCTTCGAAAGCCACTGTTTCCACCAAGATCCCGCTTCCCGGATGACGTCTCTAATTTCTCAGGGTTCACTTTCTTCTAGAAAACAAAGATTGGCACCCAACGGGGTAACCTTTATAGAGAAATACCATTCTATCTCAAAACTTGTTTGTATGTTATAAGTCAACCCAGAATCAATAACCACACCAAAATAAGCTTTCTTGTACCTAGACATGTCCTTCTCAGATGCCTTATACCTCAGATGAATCAGCTTCTTCTTGTTGGAAATTCACCTCACACCCTATGAAGAATTCTCTTCAATCTTGATCTCAAGATTGATGAACAACCCCACAATATGATAGTAATGGTAATACAAGTAATTATCAAGAACAACAAAAGAGAAGAAGAATAACAAACAAGAAAGAGAAGAATGAAAGAAGAAATATTTGGAGAAAATTGTTACCCACAACTGTGGGATTTCTTATTGCTTATAGAACTTTCACTTGCTCAAACTGCAACTGTGAAATCTGTTCTATGTTATGTTTGAATACAAAGCAAGGCACCCTATTTATAATTTTAGGTTTACAAAAGCTCAAAACATAAAAGGCCCAAAATATTCAAATCAAATCTAATCATATCAAATCAAATTTGTTTACACTATGAATTATATTTAACACACCACCTAATTCATTGTGTCTAAACTCTCTACATTCATCATGGCTCTTAGTCTTCTGAATGCTTCGACCTGCACTCCCTTCGTCATGATATCTGCAATCTGATTCTCAGTTCTGCAGTGTTCCAACTTCATCTTCCCTTCTGCTACCTGCTCTCGAAGATAATGGAACCTCATTTCGATATGCTTGCTTAAGTCCATACAGGGCTTTATGAAGCCTGTATACCTTTCTTTCTTCGCCTTGTTTCACAAATCCAGCTGGTTGTGCAACATAAACTTCTTCGTCTAAGGGGCCATTAAGGAATTCACACTTCACGTCCATCTGACATGTGTGCCAGTTGTTCATATTTGCTAGACCAACAACCAACCTGATTGTTTTGATTCTAGCAACAGGTGTAAATACTTCATCGAAGTCGATTCCTTTCTTCTGAAGAAATCCTTTCGCCACAAGTCTCGCCTTGTGTCGAGTTACTTCTCCTTTAGGATTTACCTTTACCTTGTAAACCCACTTCACATCAATTGTCTTCTTGCCTTGCAGCAATTCGACAAGTGACCAGGTATCATTGACTTCGATGGACTCCAACTCTTCAGTCATTGCTTTCATCCACTTCGAATCTTTTAATGCCTCAACTGCATTGACTGGTTCGACATCTGCATAGAAAGCATAATGTATCAACTCACCATCTTCATCGACTACATCATCTGATGTAATTACACATTCTTGCAACCTTGCAGGCATGTGTCTTGTTCGTCGAGGTCATCTTGAACCTACTTCATCTACAACTGGTTCCTGTCGAACTTCTATTTTGACTTCAGTGGCTGGTTCTTCACAAGAGATTCTCACTGAATCCTTATTGGCATTCTTAGTCCAATCCCATTCTTTAAGCTCATCTGTGATCACGTCCCTGTTGATCACTACCTACTTATTCACTGGGTTGAACAGCTTGTAACCTCCGGTCGAATGATATCCTATCAAGATCATCTAATTCGACTTATCATCAAGCTTCCTTCTCAACTGATCTGACACATGTCTATGTGCTATAGATCCAAACACCTTCAAGTGACTGGGACTAGGCTTGACACCAGACCAACATTCTTCTGGTGTGATTCCTTCAAGCTTCTTCGTCGGACATCTGTTCAATATATATGTTGCTGTCGAAACTGCTTCTCCCCATAATTCTTTAGGTAGATGCTTTACATTCAACATACTTCTCACCATATTCATGATGGTTCTGTTCTTGCATTCTGCAATCCCATTTTGCTGTGGAGTGTAAGGTGGCACCGCCTCATGCACAATCCCTTCTTTTACACATAATTTATCGAACTCTTTCAACACATACTCTCCGCCACCATCAGTCCTCAGAATTTTCAGCTTTCGGCCACTCTGTCTTTCGACCATGGACTTGAATTTGGAAAATACCTCAATCACATCACTTTTCTTCTTGATGAGGTAAGTCCACAACTTTCGACTGTAATCATCTATAAACGTGACAAAGTATCTATTGCCACCAATCGAATCCACCTGGATTGGACCACATACATCAGAGTATATGACTTCAAGTATTGCCTTCGACTTCCTTCCTGCATCCTTGCTGAAGTTATTCTTGTGTTGTTTCGACTGAATACACTCCTCACAGACTTCACTTGGAATGTCGATTTCTGGTAATCCTGAAACCATATTTCTTCTCTTCAGTTCTCTGATGTCATTAAAATTGAGATGACCTAGTCGAAAATGCCATAACCACTCATCTTTACTGGCTGCAGTTGCTAGAAATCTGTGCTCCATCACATTGAGTCCAATCTTGAAGGTCCTATTCTGAGACATTGGAGCCTTCAAGATTAATCTACCACCCGCGTCGAGAACTCTCATCATCTTGTCTTCGACAACTACCTTGTAGTTCTTTTCGACAAGCTGCCCTATACTGAGCAAATTACTCTTCATGCCTGGTATGTACAACACATTGGAAATTGTTGACCTTTTGCCATCTTTCCTCATAATCATAACATCACCAACACCTTCAGCTGCTAGAGTGTTGTCATTTGCAAACTTCACTGTGTTCTTCGACGAGGGCTTCATGTTGACAACCCAATCTTTCCTTCCAGTCATGTGTGATGAGCATCCTGAGTCCAAGTACCACTGATCTTGGAATCTTTCTTCATCTTTTATTGTGACCATTAGCAACGTTTCTTCTTCTTCATGTTTCGCCAGCTTTGCATCAGTCTCTTGATTTCTCTTCCTTTCTGGACAATCACTAACATAATGACCATACTTTTGGCAATTGAAACATTGAATGCGGCTTTTGTCTGTCTTTCGACCACCACCTATTCCTTTACCTGCAGCATCACCTATTTGTTTGCCTTGGTTCCAAGGTTTCTTCTAATTCGACTGGTTTCCTCCTTTGTTGCCATTCCAGTTACCTTTGCCTTTTCTTTCCTTTTCTGACTACGCCTGTAAAGCCATATCTTTCGACTTTCCTGCATCTCTCTCAGCCATCCTCTGTTCATGAGACTCAAGAGTCCCTTGAAGCTCTTCCTTCGTCAACACTGATAGATTTTTCGACTCTTCTATGGCAACTACCACGTGGTCGAATTTTGGAGCCAACGATCTCAAAATCTTTGAGACAACTGCTTTCGTTGTCAGCGCTTCTCTACATACTTTGATTTGATCCACCAACTTTGTAACTCTGGTGAAGAAATCTGTAGTGCTTTCGTTGTCTTCCGTCTGAAGAAACTCATAGGTTCTCTTGTGAGTTTGTAACCTCACCTCTTTCACCTTCTCTGCGCCTCCAAACGACTTTTCAAGAATCTCTCATGCTTCTTTTGCTGAATCAATATCACTAACCTTTTCAAAGTTATCAGGATCAACACACTGATGAATTATAAAGAGTGCTTTATAATCCTTCTTCTTCAATTCTTTGTGCGCAACCTTTTCTGCCTCTGTTGCGTTCTCCCCAAGCGATGTTACTCCGTCCTTCACAAGATTCCAAAGATCTTGATAACAGAAGATCACCTTAATTTGCTTGCACCAATTCTCATGGTTGTCTTTCTTGAGAATTGGCAAGGTCGCCGGAAAGTTGCCGTTCTGATAGTTCATCGCCATCACTATCTTCCTTCCTTGAATCTCTCAACCGAAGCTCTAGATACCAGATGTTGGAAATTCACCTCACACCCTATGAAGAATTCCCTTCAATCTTGATCTCAAGATTGATGAACAAACCCACAATATGATAGTAATGGTAATAACAAGTAATTATCAAGAACAACAAAAGAGAAGAAGAATAACAAACAAGAAAGAGAAGAATGAGAGAAGAAATATTTGGAGAAAATTGTTACCCACAACTGTGAGATTTCTTATTGCTTATAGAACTTTCACTTGCTCAAACTGCAACTATGAAATATGTTCTATGTTATGTTTGAATACAAAGCAAGACACCCTATATATAGTTTTAGGTTTACAAAAGTCCAAAACATAAAAGGCCCAAAATATTCAAATCAAATCTAATCATATCAAATCAAATCTGTTTACACTATGCATTATATTTAACACTTCTTAGGTTGATCACTTTTGAGCTTATTTCTACCGTTGAAGAGGACTTCTGCATACGATTTGGACCCACCTTTATCTTCATCCAAACCCAACTTCCTTCTGTCTGTTCTAAAATTGACACTAGGTCTCCCTCGGGTTTAATTTACTTTCTCCCTTGTGCCTTAACCACTCTAGAGATCCTTAAAATATTAGCATGGATTTTCACCTTATCAATAAAGATATTGTCCAGCTTGATTGCTAACACCTTACAATCTTCAACCTCTGCAAATGTTAACATATTTTTTTTCTTTTAGGTGGTATAACCATTTCTGTCACCTTCTCAAATTCATTAAATAGCTTGAATAACTTCTCAGCCTTCGCTTTATCCAGAAACTCCGAAAAGTAAAAGGATTGGATCCCTTCTACACTGTTCCTTCGAGTTCCCCCTTCTACAACAAATGAATCTCATATGCTAGTCAACAATTTTCCCAGTAAATAATAGTTTAAAAAAACACAAAAGTAATATATTGAGCTTCGTAACATACACACTGTTAATATGTTACTGTAGGCAGTGGCGGAGCCAGAAAGTTTTTGAAGCCTGGGCAAAAATTTAAAACTAACATAGCCATATCCAATTTGAGGCTGATACTAACATGGAATATCATTTCATGTGATTCATAATAATTCTTGAAATTAGCAACAAGTTAACAACATAATTTTATTTACTAACTACTGTAACTACAAACTAAATTTAAAATACAAATTCCTAGTTAACATCAATTGAACCATATAACTTAGAGTAAACATAAATTGAAGAATTGGACCTAATATATTTTTTATAGGGTAATGTTAACTTGTGCCCTTGGGGCACATGTTAAGAACTAAATTAAGAAACATTGTCTTGTAAATTGTGTATAAACTTTAATTAAAGTATAAAATTAATTTTTAAATCGTTTTTTCCAATGCAAATTTACTATAAGTGGTTTTCTTAACATGTGCCCCACCCAAGGGCACAAGTTAACATTACCCTTTTTTATATTATTTGAGGATAAAATTTATTCTTTTCTTCTTATTTTTTACAACACTATACATGTTTTTTTTATAATTTTAGTAGCTGCTACTTTTATGTTAAATTTTATTTTTTCAAGTATTCATTTTTTGTTTTTGGTTAATTTGGTCATAAATAGCAACTTTATTTTAATTTTGCACTTTTTGTAATGTAGTTGAATTTAAATATTATCATATAAAAAAATTAATATAATGTATGCTTAATTGCATAAAAAAGGAAAAAGAATTATGTTTTTATTTGTGAAAAATATTTAAATTACGGCGGTTAAAACTGCCATTATCAACGACAAAAAACCATCTTTTTATTTAATATATATTATGACATGAGAAATCTTATTAAAAGTACTATTTTTCTGCATTTTCGTTAATTGTGGCGGTTTTAACCGCCATAAAAGCACTCACTAACCGCCACAATTTTCATATTCGTTTATAAAAGAAGGCAAAATTTTGGGGCCGATCCCGGGCACATGCCCAGCCTGGCCGGGCCTTAAAACCGCCCATGACTGTAGGTAACTATTGATACACTTAAAATGTGTTTATAAAGATTTAAGAAGAATTGAGCATTTAAGTTATTAGTGATAACATAACAATATCAACATGAGATATTTTCTGATAGCATCTAAGATGAAGAGAAATGTTATGATTTTTTTTATTGAAGAAATATCGTGAACTTAGATGTGAGAATTGTTTTTATAACATCTTTGTAACAAAACCTAAGTTGACACCTAAAAACGAAAATGACTTCTTTTTACTAAATCTGTTAATTTTGCAACCGAAAATGTTAAAAGAAAAATAAAAATGTACTATTTTTTGGCAAAAAATATTGAATACTATTAAACTGTAATAAAGAAACTATATTGTCTTTAAGTGTCATTTATTTTATATTTTATCGTAAATTATTAATAATAAATAACATAATATATAATTGAATGATAAATATAATCTTATCTAAATAACATAAATGTCTATTTATAGTATTAAGCGTTTCCTTAGGGTCTCCTAAGGCTTTGATCTTCTTTTATTTCGAAGAGTTTTGAGTGCCTTTTGATTTAATCAATCTTATTTTTGGATATAGATCAGTATGACTAATTCGAATTTTGAAGATTTATCAATCAACAAAGAGGGGGAAGAAGATGAATTTTGTTTTGATGTAGAAGAAGGAGAGGATGGGGTAGACCTAAGATGGTGTCTTATCAATCGATTCTTGGGGGACAAACCTATCCATGTGAAATCAATGAAAGTGATAATATCAGATATGTGGAGACCAGTTAAAGAAGTTATCATCAAACAAGCTATGAAGGGATTATTTTTGTTCCATTTTTCGCATAACCTCGACATGGAGGCAGCGTTGAAAGGTGGTCCATGGACTTTCGATAATCATCTTCTTATTCTTGAGAAAGTTAAGGTTGGAATATAGATAGAGAGCATTCCGTTATTCCATGTGGAGTTCTGGGTGCAAGTCCACAACTTTCTGGCGGGCCTCATGCTAGAAAAAGTGGGTAGAACTATGTCTAATTTTATTGGTGAATTCGTGGGATATGATAAGAATAATAACACAAGTTTCTGGTGTCAATACATGAGAATCAGAGTTGAATTGAATGTTAGGCAACCATTGAAACAACAACTGCATGTTAAAAATAAGGAGGGGAATGGTGCATAGTCAAATTCAAATATGAGAAGCTCAGCGTATCTTGCTTTATATATGAATTATTGGGTCATTCGAAGAAAAGGTGTGAGATTCTATTTGCTAAGGAGATAGATGACAAAATTCGAGGATGATCTAATGAATTAAGGGCAAAACAAAGGCGGTCAGATGGAGGTCAAACCTCAAGGTGGTTGAAAGAGGAGTTGAGTGGCAACAATGTTCTTTTTAAAAATCCTGGTAGTGTGCAGGAGCGTGGTTCTCACACAGATGAGGAACCTGGTGAAGTTCCACAAGACAGGAGGCAGACAACCTCATTAACACTATTTAATGAGAATAACACATGCAATCATGGAGGTATTATTAGTAATAGTCAGTTGTCCCTACACATTCAAAGCGAGCATAATAAAGAGGATATGATTTGAAATGTTTCTTTGACTACCATATTAAATTCTTGTAGCCAGCATGTCCTTACTTTTTGTCGGCCCACACTTTAACTCTCCACAACAAAATAATAATTTTGAGAAGACACAATTGTTATACCCCAAATTTGTCCTACCTGTGTATAATTTTCATATGTACATCCACCCACTACCCATTATTCAGAAAAAAATCCAAAAAAGTATGTTGCTTATGCTCAGGGTCCAAACTTAAGATATCACAGGGTTGAGATGAGTTGAATTGAGGATCATTTGAGGTTTATCAGTATGAGTGTATGGCCAATGATGATTGAAGATCAATTAGGTATGACCTGATCCTGGTCAGACAAGTTTTGTTTCAAGATCAAGGCTTGGATTTGATTGATGTGGGTCTGAGCATCTAATTAGGATTCTGTGACAATTCAAGTTGTCTGTGTGGAGATCAAGTTATTCCTCATTCCATTCCAACCTTTCTCTAAACTTCATAAACCCCCTTCCACCTTCATTACTCGAAACCCAAAACTCGCTTCATCTTCTACCTCGACCCAACCTAAAAAACAAACATATCACATAAACCGAATCAAAAGAGAGAGTAAGAAGGAGAGAGAGTGATTAAACCCAAATCAAAACCTAAAATCGCAAACCTGAACAAGCCTTCATAACCGAGTTGAGACAGAAACAAAATTTGAAGAAGAAGTTTGAAATTTGTTTTGATACAACTGGTTCTTCTTCCTGTTAAAATAAATTCGATGGTATGGATTTGTTTTTACAAAGATAAAGTTGTGTGGTATAAGCTGAGACGGTTTTATTCGAAGGCCATACGATATAACCTGAAGGTCTCATTACTTCTTTTTTTTTGGGTTTTTTTTTGGCTGACAAACCGTGATTGTTGGGCTTATTTAAGCCCATCCTCATTTGAATTTCATTATCCACACACCATGTAACCTCAAGCCACCTCCTATTTTTTTTAATTATTATTATTATTTATTATTTTCTTTTTCTTTTTCATGATTTTATTTTGCTTTCTCTTTTTTTTTTTAGAAAAAGAATTTAAGTTTTAATAAGTCATTTTTTTAAATATTTATTTTGAACAAATTCTAACGTCTAATTGATTTTAGTTTGGTCTTGATATTTTCATTTCAATTTTATTTTCCTTTCCATTTTCGATTTTATCTTTGGTCGATGAAAATCTAAATAGTCGTGGACTATCAATTCATCGATGAAAATCCATGATTAAGATTAGACCATTGTCTTTTTCCAAATTATTTTAGCTCATTCCTTTTCATTTCATTTTTGATTCCATCTCCTTTTCAATATTGGTCTATGAAGTCTTTTTATTCATAGATATTAGTTAGTTGAGGTTATTTAACCTTCATTATTCCAAATATGTAATGAATGATCTTTTAGATCATTTTCTATACTTTGAGATCGTGATAGTTTAACTTCAATTAACCGAAGTAAGTTTGTGATTAAGACGAGATCATCCGCTTTTCTTTTTGTGTGGCACGATTTCCTTGGAGAATGATCCTTAATATCATTTCTCCATTGTGCAACCTCCTATAGTATGATCTTTGTCATAGATCATGCTACGACGATTTAGCGCTAAAGTCGACCCGATTCCAGTATAATTATCCGATTAATCACTAACTACTAACTTTAATTTCTATCCAATATACTCTTGGTTTATGTTTCCATCAATATATCTCGATTATATCATTGTTCATATACTATTGTTAATGTTATCTTGATTATATTATTGTTGATATTATTCTTGATCATATTATTCATATTGTTCATATCATATTCATCTTGTTCATATCTTGTTCACATTATTCGAAAACACACTAATAACAATTGAAACCCTAAAAGCCTAAATTGGTAGACTGTGGTTACTTTTCTGAGCAACAGAACTTGGACTTTGTACAGAAACCCTAACATAGGAGATTTTGTCTGACTTTTGCTCGTGGCTTAGTTTAGGCCACCTCACACCCACATGGCTTCCTCTTGGACTACCTGACAATGAACCCTATTTATTTCGTGCAATCCCGTGTAACTTACATGTACCCCACTCCCATTTCGATGTACGCATTCATTTTGCTTTGATTGTGGTTTATTTACTTGGAGCACCCCTAGGGACTAGCATAGACTAAACCATTTTCCAACTAATTATCGATTCGTCATCGAGCCATTTTCAAACACCTATCGTAAGTCGATTGCTCATTAGCATCGCCATTAATATAATGTACACAATCACACATTTCGTCATGGTTTCATTATTAGAAGCACCCCTAGGGACTAGTATCAATTCTCGCCTCTTTTGCAAGCCCTTGATCTAACATCAAGTGGTATTTTATTCAAACTTGTAAGTCGAGTTCCTTTTGCCTCGCCGTCAACCTCTTTTCGTAACCAATCTGTTTCAATCTTTTTTCAAATCGCTTTCTTAATCAACTTACAAAAGAAGAAGATTCTTGGAGTCTCTCATTCCTTGAATCTTCGAATGAATGGCTCTTGAGGTGCATACTTTGGGTTGTTATTCATTCAACTTTTCGTCTTAAAACACTTAATATTTATCAAACAATTTCTTAGTCAACTTAATAAAGAAGGAGATTCTTGGAATCTAGAACTCCTTGGATCTTCGAACTAATGGCTCTCGAGGCACGCCCCTTGGATTGTTATTCATTCAATCTTTCGACTTTTAAAACATTTAACCTAACTCAAACCTTTCTAATCAAATCCCGAAAGAACTGAGTTCTTGGAATCTCGCATTCCTTAGATTCTTGAGTAACAGCTCTCAAGGCACTCCCCTTGGGTTGTTTGTCATTTAATATTTCATTTCCAAACCGAACTTCAACAATTTCAACCCCTCTCTTTCATGGTCGTCTCCACGAACTATGGACGCTTTGATTCTTTATTCTTGTCCGAATAAAGATATATAGGCACAAGATTGCGAAGATCTTGGCAAGCTACCTGTTCTTTTTTCCATCCGTTTACGTTTACTTTTTTCTTTTTTCCCCTGTTTACGTTACAATTCTATCCATCTTGCATTCTCCCCCTGTATCCTTTCTTGTAGTCGAACTACGAGCACTCTGATTTCTCATTCTCATCTGAATGAGCATACGTAGGCACAAGGGCCCCAATCCTTGGCGAGCACCCTATCCTAAAAATCACCCATTTTATCCTTAATATCGTTTCCTTTTATCTTACTGTTTCACATTTATCGTTGAGAAGAAAATAAACAAGCTTAGATAACGCTCATTACAAATTGAACTATGAGGTCCCCATTGAGTACAACGAACGTGAGGGGTGCTAATACCTTCCTCTTGCGTAACCGACTCCTGAACCCAGAATATGGTTACGACGACCATGTTCTTATCTCTTTAAAGGTTTCCTCGATATTTTCCTTTCCCTCTTTTGGGATAAATAAAGTTCAGTGGCGACTCTGTCGAACCATTTTCTGCGCCTTTTACATGAGGGTCGTATTTCTCGATCGTGTATTTTTTCAAGGTGCGACAGTTGGTGACTCTGCTGGGGAGGAATTGCTCCATGCAAAAGAGAGTCAAGCCTATCTTAGGGCGATTTGCAAAGAGCGTTATCTAAGCTTATTTGTTTTCTCCTTGTTTATGTATTCATTCTCTTATTGCTTTCTCTTATGTACCTGTTATCATGCTTATCTGTTGGATCTTGGGATGATCATGAGTAAAACTCTACACCCGATCTTTGGTAAAAGTAGAGGGAACACCTAGCTTCGAATTGGAAGTCGAGTAGTGTTAGTCCCCAAGGACTCGCTTCTTGTGTGCCTAGCATGAAAGTTCCCCTAGAGGAGACCTATTCGTAGATCTTGTTGTAACACAACTAGCCTGTTACATGACTTGATTCATGAAGGGTCCATGATTCTAGGAACCCCTTTTAGCACCAGTTCTATACTGGTGGTCATTTAGTGTTAGTCTCCAAGGACTCGCTCCTTGTGTGCCTAGCATAAGAACCCTGCTCAGGAGAGACCTTGTCGCTATTATCGTTGTAATGCAGCTAGCCTGTTGCGTGACGTTGATGTGATTAGTGTCCGTGACTCTGGGAACCATATCCATCAATGTAGAAACTATCCCGTGAGTGGGTTTATGGATAAAGAATATAGATCTTCCCGCATAGAGCCTACCTATAAGGTTTCTTTGATCTGAGACTTTGGTTACTTACCCATTACTCTGACCAATATTAGAATTGTTCGAATTTGTGATCCTGAATCTTGCATCTTGCATTACATACCTACATGTCATTGTATTGCATTGCATCAGTTATGCATCTTACATTTCATTTTCAATAACAAAGAGCCATTTCACCTTTCTACCTTCTCTAGTTAAT